CACTGAGATAACAGAGGCCTGGGAAACTTGTTTTTGATAGAAATTGTTGTTGTGGGCAGTGTTTTGTTCTGTTCCTTTTCATTTATAGTCAACGATCTCACTTGAAGTGCTGCCTAAGGGATATGATTCATAGAGTTGTTTTATTGATTGGAAAATTGATAACATTGATGATATTGGGATGTATTTTAAAATGTTTTATGATAGCAGTTAAATGTTTTATGCATGGAGTCTGGCTTATTCAAAAACAAAAAGGGGGAATTGTGGGATATTTAGAGAACAGCGGACATGTTTTGAACAAGCCAGGCAGCCTGTTTTTAGACAAGTTTTAGGCCTCACTTGACAAGAGTTTGTGAAGGACATTGTGAAGGTCACTAGCTGTGAGAATATGCTGAAGCAAACAAAACCAAGGAGCTGTGACTGGTGTATGTAACTGAAAACAGAAACAAACCCAGTCTGCAGGTGGGGAGAAACAGGAGCGTGATCAGCAGCGAAGAGCGAATCAGCAAAAGGAAAACAGCGTGTGAACAGGAGCATGGACTGCGTGTGTTTGTTGTTAATAGCCAATCAATATAGAACATTTAGAAAACAAGGACATTGTGAACTGTATATTAACCGCGTTAGTGTGTTAATAAAGTGGCATTTGCTTGATCACATTGATCATCAGCAGTGTCCGTGACTTCCGCGTCAACAGTTTGCTTTCTGGGCAAAGTTACAAAAGCTGAGCGTAAGTTAGGCTTCATTTGTTTAGTTCTGGGTTGTGGGGTTTTTTTTGAAACTTGGGGAGAAAGACATTCCTAGGGCAAGTTAAAATAAAAAAGAATTCCAGTCCTCAAATGCTCCACTTAAAAATTCACCCTGTCCCACTTCATTTCTTTAAGGTTTTCACTTAGACTTCAGCTGATAAGTCTGAAAAGAAAATTAATTTTTTTTACTATTGGTATGCATGCTCAGGGGTTATTTTTAATAAATAGGTGAAGTGTTGAAAACTGGTCACAGCTGAGGAGCCTAGAATGCAGTGAGCTGCCTTTAACCCTTGCTATTGTCCATGCCAAATAGCTACATTTTTAACTTCTGGGACTGTTTCAGTCCCACTTATGGCAAGCCATGAAATGGGCCACTCCATTTTCATCTATAAAGTCTGCTTCACCTTCCATCCTATAATGACATAAATGCAGCCTGTTGAGATTGCAATCAGCTTGTGGCAGGACTGTGATATGTGCACTACTCAGATAGGCAAATTGCCTGGAATCAGAACCTTCCCAGTGTAGTGTAAGTACTGCCTTAACTCTCTCCCACACTGCAGCCCGTAAAAGTTTTGCCCTACAAAGCACACAGATTAGATGGCCAAGGAACATATTTCTTTCTTTGCAAAATTGTATTTACACTAACATCCTTCCAGCATGTAGCCTGTACAGGAAAACCTTCATAGTCCCAGTCGTGATTTGAATTATTAAGTCATACGAAGTTTTTCCTGACTTTCATTAAGGGCATCTTCACGATGTGTGTCTGCAGCCAGTTACTGTGTGATCTTGCCGTAAAAATCCATCCTCTCATACCTTCCCCATCCTCCTATATGTTGTTATAACAAAGTGCAAGGATTTACAGCCTCCCGTGGTGGGACAGGAGGGAACAAACAACTGCCATGTGTATTCAGTCCTCATAAACCACACAATTTTGACAATCTTTGAAACTTGTGATCTAGCTCATCATTATACCTGAAAACTACTCTAACAAAAGAAATGTCTACATCAGCATCCCTTGTAAATGAGGGGAAAATAACTTTTAAAATCAATTACTGGAGATTTGTTTCCCTTAAAAAATGAGGCCACCTAGCAGTCACAGTAAGTGGCTGTGGTGCCACCTATTTACATTCCCTCATGAAGGCTGGACACCCATCTCGTGTGAGTAGGTGGAAACTAGCAATCCTGAAACTTGGCAAAATATCCTACATTGGGCTGTCAGGAAGTGGTGTGTGTCAACAGCCACAAAACAGTGTCAGAAGGCAAAGTCTTAATTGCCTGGTGAAAATGGTAGTGGCTGGCAAAGACTGGATCTCTGTTGCCAAGTGAGCATCTCCATCAGCATTTTAATTAGTTGAAATCCCACATTCAGATCAGAACCAGCTGATTTTCTGTACTACAGATGAGTTCCCATTTTATATCCAGGTAGATTCTGTACAACATATTTCGTCTGGTGTCTGATCATTTAAAAATAGAATTGGCCATCATTCTAGTACTATTGTGGCTCTGATTTCTGGTCTGCAGGGCAAGACAGCTTTTATTTCTGATGAAAGACCACCCATGAACAAATATACATTTTAGATTTATTTCAGATACTGGATTGGGAAGGTACTTAAACAAAAACTAAACCTAAATCAAACTAACAAATTTAGCACAGAAGTCATTTAAGGAGAATAAACATGAATTTCTCATGACATTTTTTGCACTCAATTTTCTCATTAAATCTGCTTTGCAGATTATGAAGTGAGTATTGACTTCTTGGTTTGGGAAAAAGATGGTACCTTAGCAATTCAAAACACACACCGTTATTCAAAAGAAATTAACTCAGATGATAGTTATATGATTGGCACTAAAATATTTCATTCCAAGTGAAGAAATTAAACCTCTGCATTTTCCTATTTCTCTGAAGTTTGTACTTTACCTCAAAAAAAATAAGTGAACACAAACTTCACAAAATATCAGTGCAAATCAGGGCTGTATTTCTACATGAACCTGTAGGCAAACAGCATGAAACAACGGGTCTGAATTGTTCGGTTTCTCTGGACTCTTCCTGAGCCCAGAGACCTGGTAGCAGAAAGTGGGTGGGTGGAATAACCATCTTGAAAACTTCTGACTGGGAACAAATCACAGACTTTTGACTGCTCTTAGGTAAAGGGTACAACTGGGATCAGCAATCTCAGATACCCAGTGCAACTTTCACTAAGAGCAAAAGAAACTTACTTCCATGCCAGGTGAATTTTATTTGGACTTCACAACTTATCAAATCTAAACTAATAGAAAAGACTACATGACTCTTCCTCTTCAAACATACTTGTTTTCCTTGAATGGTCTAATGTACTTTGCTCTATTTGGGAGTGTGTAAGTTCCAACCCCGTGACACATATTGTCTTTAAACTCGCCTTCATAAACGGCCCCAGAAGGATGTTCTAGCCTTCCAGTACCATTCATCTGCATTTAATGAAAGATGAAAACAGTTAATGCTTATGTTTGCAGTATTATTCCCTTTCATTTACAATATCCCTTCAGATTGCTGCCTTTAAGTCTGCTATCAGCAGCTATTCTTTCAAAATTTAGACAGGTTGCTGCTTCTACAGGGATTTCAGCCCTGTTGGAGCAGGCACCTTTTGGTGCCCCGCATAGAGTGCCAGCCAGCAGAAGTCCTGTTACCTGTTGTCCCACTACTACTGAGCCCCACTGCGTATATGGTGGGGAGCTGGCATGGGGCAGAGCAGACCTCAATGGACCATTGAAGTGGTAGCTGTGACTGTCTGCAGAAACACACCATGGCAGCTTCTGTGTGTCTGTGGGTGTTTCTTACACAGTCAAAAGCAGTGTCTTACTTGGGTAACAGTCCACTTCTCTAAATTTTTTTGCTTTAAACTCCAGCCTGGCACAGGTTGGCTGGAGCGGCTGTGGTGTCTCCATTCATGGAGATATGCAAGACCCTCTAGGATGCAGTCCAGGGCAGCCATCATGGGTGACCTTGGATATGCAGGGCACTGAGGATCTCCAGAGGGGCCTCCACATGCCAGCTGCACAGCTTTGGGGTCACTCATCATTTATGTAACCCTTGTCCTAAAACTGGTACAGATTTCCTCCATTTTCACAGAATAAGGAATTGCCTAGATTGGAAAAGACCTTTAACATCAAGTCCAACCATTAGCCTGACACTGACAAATCCTCAACTAAACCATGTCCCTAAGTACTATGTGTACATGACTCTTAAATACCTCCAGGGATGGGGACTCCACCACTGCCCCAGGAAACCCCTTCCAATGCATGATAACCCTTACAGTAAAGAAATTCTTCTTCATATCCAATCTAAACTTCCCCTGGCCATTTCCTCTTGTCTTATTGCTTGTTACTTGGATGAACAGTCTGACCGCCCACCTCTCTACAACCTCCTTTCAGGTAGTTGTAGAGAGTGATAAGGTCCCCCCTGAGTCTCCTTTTCTCCAGGTTAAACAACCCCAGTTCTCTCAGCTGCTCCTCAGAAGACATGTGCTCGAGACCCTTCAACAGCTTTGTTGCTCTTCTCTGCATACACTCCAGCACCTCAATGTCCTTCTTACACTGTGGCACCCAAAACTGCACACAGTACTTGAGATGTGGCCTCACCAGTGCCGACTATAGGGGTAAAATCATTTCTCTGGTCATGCTGGTCACACCATTCCTGACACAGACCAGGATGCTGTTGGCTTTCTTGTCCCCTTGGGCACAATACTGGCTCATGTTCAGCCACTGTCCCTCAACATCCCCAGGTCCCTCTCTGCCTGGCAGATCTCCAGCCACTCCTCCCCAAGACTGTAGCGCTGCCGGGGGTTGTTG